GAGTGAGGTGATGAGGTGGTGAGTGGGTGAGTGAAATGGTGAGTGAGGTGATGAGGTGGTGAGTGGGTGAGTGAGATGGTGAGTGCGTGAGATGGTGAGTGGGTGAGATGGTGAGTGGGTGAGTGAGGTGGTGAGATGGTGAGTGGGTGAGTGAGATGGTGAGTGGGTGAGTGAAATGGTGAGTGAGTGAGGTGGTGAGTGAGATGGTGAGTGGGTGAGTGAGATGGTGAGTGGGTGAGTGAAATGGTGAGTGGGTGAGTGAAATGGTGAGTGGGTGAGCGAGATGGTGGGCGGGTGAGTCAGATGGTGAGCGGGAGAGTGAGATGGTGAGTGGGTGAGTGAGATGGTGAGTGGGTGAGTGAGATGGTGAGTGCGTGAGAGAGATGGTGAGTGCGTGAGAGAGATGGTGAGTGGGTGAGTGAGATGGTGAGTGGGTGAGTGAGGTGGTGAGTGAGATGGTGAATGGGTGAGTGAGGTGGTGAGTGGGTGAGTGAAATGGTGAGTGTGTGAGTGAGGTGGTGAGTGAAATGGTGAGTGAGGTGGTGAGTGAAATGGTGAGTGGGTGAGTGAGGTGGTGAGTGGGTGAGTGAGGTGGTGAGTGGATGAGTGAAATGGTGAGTGAGAGATGGTGAGATGGTGAGTGAGATGGTGAGTGGGTGAGTGAGATGGTGAGTGGGTGGGTGAGTGAGATGGTGAGTGGGTGAGTGGGTGAGTGGGATGGTGAGTGAGATGGTGAATGAGATGGTGAGTGGGTGAGTGACATGGTGAGTGGGTGAGTGATATGGTGAGTGAGATGATGAGGTGAGTGAGATGGTGAGTGAGATGGTGAGTGGGTGAGTGAGATGGTGAGTGGGTGAGTGAGATGGTGAGTGGGTGAGTGAGATGATGAGTGGGTGAGTGAGATGGTGAGTGGGTGAGTGAGATGGTGAGTGGGTGAGTGAGATGATGAGTGGGTGAGTGAGATGGTGAGTGGGTGAGTGCGACGGTGAGATGTAGTGTAGTGTGTGTGTAGAATAGTGTGTGTATAGTGCAGTGTATAGTTGTATAGTGTGTAGTGTATAGTGTGTATAGTGTAGTGTATAGTGTGTAGTGTATAGTGTGTATAGTGTAGTGTATAGTTGTATAGTGTGTAGTGTATAGTGTAGTGTATAGTTGTATAGTGTGTAGTGTATAGTGTAGTGTATAGTTGTATAGTGTAGTGTATAGTGTAGTGTATAGTTTAGTGTATAGTGTATAGTTCTATAGTGTAGTGTATAGTGTAGTGTATAGTAGTGTAGTGTATAGCGTAGTGTATAATGTGTATAGTAGTGTATAGTAGTGTAGTGTATTGTGTAGTGTATAATGTAGTGTATAGTAGTGTAGTGTATAGTAGTGTAGTGTATAGTGTAGTGTATATTGTAGTGTATAATGTAGTGTATAGTGTAGTGTATAATGTAGTGTATAGTAGTGTAGTGTATAGTGTAGTGTATAATGTAGGGTATAGTGTAGTGTATAGTAGTGTAGTGTATAGTGTATAATGTAGTGTATAGTGTAGTGTATAGTGTAGTGTATAGTATAGTGTGTAGTGTATAGTAGTGTAGTGTATAGTGTATAATGTAGTGTATAGTGTAGTGTACAGTAGTGTAGTGTATAATGTAGTGTATAGTGTCTCCAGCTGTTAACTCCACACGGACTCAGGCAGTAAACGAGGCGCGTTTAATAGAACCCGGATCTCCGCCCGTGTCTCCGTGTGTCCACGTTTGCCCCCCCCCCGTGTCTCCGTGTGTATCAGTGTGTCTCCATGTCGCCTCCCTTGTCTTCGTGTCTCCCCCCGTGTCTCCCCCCGTGTCTCCCCCCCGTGTCTCCCCCCGTGTCTCCCCCCGTGTCTCCCCCCGTGTCCCCCCCCGCGTCTCCTCCCGTGTCTCCCCCCGTGTCTCCCCCGTGTCTCCCCCGTGTCCCCTCCCGTGTCTCCCCCCGTGTCTCCCCCCGTGTCTCCCCCCGTGTCTCCCCGTGTCTCTACTCGTGTCTCCCCCTGTGTCTCCCCCCGTGTCTCCCCGTGTCTCTACTCGTGTCTCCCCCTGTGTCTCCCCCCGTGTCTCCCCCAGTGTCTCCCCCCGTGTCTCCCCCCTTGTCTCCCCGTGTCTCTACTCGTGTCTCCCCCTGTGTCTCCCCCCGTGTCTCCCCCAGTGTCTCCCCCCGTGTCTCCCCCCGTGTCTCCCCGTGTCTCTACTCGTGTCTCCCCCTGTGTCTCCCCCCGTGTCTCCCCCAGTGTCTCCCCCCGTGTCTCCCCGTCTCTACTCGTGTCTCTACTCGTGTCTCTACTCGTGTCTCTACTCGTGTCTCTACTCGTGTCTCCCCCCGTGTCTCCCCCCGTGTGTCCCCCCGTGTCTCCCCCCGTGTCTCCCCCCCTGTCTCCCCCCGTGTCTCCCCCCGTGTCTCCCCCGTCTCCCCCCGTGTCTCCCCCCCTGTCTCCCCGTGTCTCTACTCGTCCCCACGTCTCCCCCCGTGTCTCCCCCCCTGTCTCCCCCCGTGTCTCCCCCCCTGTCTCCCCCCCCTGTCTCCCCGTGTCTCCCCCCCTGTCTCCCCCCGTGTCTCCCCCCCCTGTCTCCCCCCCGTGTCCTCCCCCCCCGTCTCTCCCATGTCTCCCCCCCTGTCTCCCCCCCTGTCTCCCCCCCGTGTCTCCCCCCCGTGTCTCCCCCCGTGTCTCCCCCCCGTGTCCTCCCCCCCGTGTCTCCCCCCCGTGTCTCCCCCCCTGTCTCCCCCCCCGTCTCTCCCCCCGTCTCCCCCCCGTCTCCCCCCCGTGTCTCCCCCCCCTGTCTCCCCCCCCTGTCTCCCCCCCGTGTCTCCCCCCCGTGTCTCCCCCGTGTCTCCCCCGTGTCCCCTCCCGTGTCTCCCCCCGTGTCTCCCCCGTGTCTCCCCCGTGTCTCCCCGTGTCTCTACTCGTGTCTCCCCTGTGTCTCCCCCCGTGTCTCCCCGTGTCTCTACTCGTGTCTCCCCCTGTGTCTCCCCCCGTGTCTCCCCCAGTGTCTCCCCCCGTGTCTCCCCCCGTGTCTCCCCGTGTCTCTACTCGTGTCTCCCCCTGTGTCTCCCCCCGTGTCTCCCCCAGTGTCTCCCCCCGTGGTCTCCCCCCGTGTCTCCCCGTGTCTCTACTCGTGTCTCCCCCTGTGTCTCCCCCCGTGTCTCCCCCAGTGTCTCCCCCCGTGTCCTCCCCGTCCTCTACTCGTGTCTCTACTCGTGTCTCTACTCGTGTCTCTACTCGTGTCTCTACTCGTGTCTCTACTCGTGTCTCTACTCGTGTCTCTACTCGTGTCTCTACTCGTGTCTCTACTCGTGTCTCTACTCGTGTCTCTACTCGTGTCTCCCCCCGTGTCTCCCCCCGTGTCTCCCCCCGTGGTCTCCCCCCGTGTCTCCCCCCCTGTCTCCCCCCGTGTCTCCCCCCGTGTCTCCCCCCGTCTCCCCCCGTGTCTCCCCCCCTGTCTCCCCGTGTCTCTACTCGTCCCCACGTCTCCCCCCGTGTCTCCCCCCCTGTCTCCCCCCGTGTCTCCCCCCCTGTCTCCCCCCCTGTCTCCCCGTGTCTCCCCCCCTGTCTCCCCCCGTGTCTCCCCCCCCTGTCTCCCCCCCGTGTCTCCCCCCCCGTCTCTCCCCATGTCTCCCCCCCTGTCTCCCCCCCTGTCTCCCCCCCGTGTCTCCCCCCCGTGTCTCCCCCCCGTGTCTCCCCCCCTGTCTCCCCCCCCGTCTCTCCCCCCGTCTCCCCCCCGTCTCCCCCCGTCTCCCCCCCGTGTCTCCCCCCCTGTCTCCCCCCCCTGTCTCCCCCCCGTGTCTCCCCCCCGTGTCTCCCCCCCGTGTCTCCCCCCGTGTCTCCCCCCCGTGTCTCCCCCCCCTGTCTCCCCCCCGTGTCTCCCCCCCTGTCTCCCCCCCTGTCTCCCCCCCCCTGTCTCCTCCCCCCCGTCTCTCCCCCGTCTCCCCCCCGTGTCTCCCCCCCTGTCTCCCCCCCCTGTCTCCCCCCCCTGTCTCCCCCCCGTGTCTCCCCCCCGTGTCTCCCCCCCTGTCTCCCCCCTGTCTCCCCCCCCCTGTCTCCCCCCCCGTCTCTCCCCCCGTCTCCCCCCCTGTCTCCCCCCTGTCTCCCCCCCGTGTCTCCCCCCCTGTCTCCCCCCCTGTCTCCCCCCCCTGTCTCCCCCCCCCGTCTCTCCCCCTGTCTCCCCCCCGTGTCTCCCCCCCTGTCTCCCCCCCTGTCTCCCCCCCCTGTCTCCCCCCCCGTCTCTCCCCCCGTCTCCCCCCCTGTCTCCCCCCCGTGTCTCCCCCCCTGTCTCCCCCCCGTGTCTCCCCCCCTGTCTCCCCCCCTGTCCTCCCCCCCCTGTCTCCCCCCCCCGTCTCTCCCCCTGTCTCCCCCTGTCTCCCCCACGTGTCTCTACTCCCCCCGTGTCTCCGTGTCTCTACTCCCCCCGTGTCCCCGTGTCTCTACTCCCCCCGTGTCTCTACTCCCCCCGTGTCTCTACTCCCCCGTGTCTCTACTCCCCCCGTGTCTCCGTGTCTCTACTCCCCCCGTGTCCCCGTGTCTCTACTCCCCCCCGTGTCTCTACTCCCCCGTGTCTCTACTCCCCCCGTGTCTCTACTCCCCCCGTGTCTCTACTCCCCACGTGTCTCTACTCCCCCCGTGTCTCTACTCCCCCCGTGTCTCTACTCCCCACGTGTCTCCGTGTCTCTACTCCCCCCGTGTCTCTACTCCCCACGTGTCTCCGTGTCTCTACTCCCCCCGTGTCTCTACTCCCCCCGTGTCTCCGTGTCTCTACTCCCCCCGTGTCTCTACTCCCCACGTGTCTCCCCCACGTGTCCCCGTGTCTCTACTCCCCCCGTGTCTCCGTGTCTCTACTCCCCACGTGTCTCCCCCACGTGTCCCCGTGTCTCTACTCCCCCCGTGTCTCCGTGTCTCTACTCCCCCCGTGTCTCTACTCCCCACGTGTCCCCGTGTCTCTACTCCCCACGTGTCCCCGTGTCTCTACTCCCCACGTGTCCCCGTGTCTCTACTCGTCCCCGCGTCTCCGTGCCCGCAGGCTGCGCGAGCCCCCAGCCCCCCGCCTCTTCTTGAACACCGCCGTGACCCCCGCGGTGACCCCCGCGGTGACCCCCGCGGTGACCCCCAGTGCCGGGGTCGCCCTCTCCTGGAAGGGTCCCCGAGGTCGCTGGGGCTGAGCTGGGCCCCCCCTCCAGCCCCCCCACCCTCCCCCCACTCCTGCCCCCCTCTCCTCCCCCTCCCCCCACTCCTCCTCCCCCTCCCCCCACTCCCCCTGCCCCCCCTCCTCCTCCTCCTCCCACGTGATCGGCAACTCCAAGTCCAGAGGAACCCTTGGGTGGGGGTTGGTGGACAAGAAAGAGAAACGGCCTCAGTCTGGCTCTGTGAGCCCCCCAGTGAGCCCCCCAGTGATTAACAGTGAACCCTGTTGGGGGGGGCCTTAGTCTGGCTCTGTGAGCCCCCCAGTGATTAACACTGAACCCTGTGGGGGGAGCCTTAGTCTGGCTCTGTGAGCCCCCCAGTGATTAACACTGAACCCTGTGGGGGGGAGCCTTAGTCTGGCTCTGTGAGCCCCCCAGTGATTAACACTGAACCCTGTGGGGGGAGCCTGTCTGGCTCTGTGAGCCCCCCAGTGATTAACACTGAACCCTGTGGGGGGAGCCTTAGTCTGGCTCTGTGAGCCCCCCAGTGATTAACACTGAACCCTGTGGGGGGAGCCTTAGTCTGGCTCTGTGAGCCCCCCAGTGATTAACACTGAACCCTGTGGGGGGGGCCTTAGTCTGGCTCTGTGAGCCCCCAGTGATTAACACTAAACCCTGTGGGGGGAGCCTTAGTCTGGCTCTGTGAGCCCCCCAGTGATTAACACTGAACCCTGTGGGGGGAGCCTTAGTGTGGCTCTGTGAGCCCCCCAGTGATTAACACTGAACCCTGTGGGGGGAGCCTTAGTCTGGCTCTGTGAGCCCCCCAGTGATTAACACTGAACCCTGTGGGGGGAGCCTCAGTCTGGCTCTGTGAGCCCCCCAGTGATTAACACTGAACCCTGTGGGGGGGGCCTTAGTCTGGCTCTGTGAGCCCCCCAGTGATTAACACTGAACCCTGTGGGAGAGGGAGCCTTAGTCTGGCTCTGTGAGCCCCCCAGTGATTAACACTGAACCCTGTGGGGGGAGCCTTAGTCTGGCTCTGTGAGCCCCCCAGTGATTAACACTGAACCCTGTGGGAGGAGCCTTAGTCTGGCTCTGAGCCACCGTTGAACTCCTCGACCAATCGCGTCGCGGCTTACGGCTTCTCCGTGCGCACTTCCTCCCACGCTCCGTACGGATTGGCCCGCTTCGCCGGGGGGCGGGGCTCCTCCGAGGTCTCCAATTGGCTGCCCTCGTCGGCCGCGGGTAGGGCGGCGGCGGTGGGCGGCGCCGGTTTCTGGTTGGGCAAGGGGGAGGCTTTGATTGACAGGTGCGTGTGTGTGTGTATGTGTGTGTGTATGTGTGTGTGTATGTACGTGTGTGTGTACATTATTTAACATCTATTTTGACCACGTAGTTCGTGAAGCCTTCAATAGCTGTACCGGGCGAATCTCCACTTGGTACAGATATAATGGGAGGCTGATCGATGCCCGGGTGCGGTCAAGGGATGGCTCCCTATTGCTCAACCACGTTATGTATGCCGATGATTTGGTAATAGCTGCTCACTCAGAGGAGGAGTTGGAGACGCTGCTGTTGCTGAGACTGGAGCGTGCCACTAAGAGGTGGGGCCTTACCATCAGCCCCACCAAAACTAAGCACCTGCCTGGGTATTTTGTACCATCGGACACTCCACCCCCACAACTCCCAATCGGTGATGGGGCAGTTGTGGAGAGAGTGGAGAGTTTCCCATACCTGGGCAGTGTGCTTATGACTGGCTCCAGTTTAACAGCAGAGGTCTCACTCCGAATCAGTCGAGCGGCAATATCTTTTCATCGGTTGCGTAACGCTGTGTGGAAGCTATCTGGTCTGTCGCTCCGCACTAAGCTTCAGGTCTTCTCGGCCATGGTCATTCCCTCCCTTCTCTACGCTTGCGAAACATGGACCCCCCTAATGGAACATCTTCGCCGGTTAGAAACATTTAGGCTGGCCTGCCTACGATCCATCCTGGGTTTAACCAGACTGGATTGTGTGTGGAGCTCACAAATCCTTGAAAGATCTGGGCACGGTCCCATCGGTGAGCTCCTCCGGCAGGCAAGGCTGCGTTGTCTGGGTCATGTAGCCCGCATGCCCAGCCACCGCATGCCGAAACAGCTTTTGTTCGGGCGGATCGAGGGGGCTAAACGGGCGCGGCACGGGCTAGAGAAGAGATGGAGTGATGTGGTACAGGAGGACGTGGAGTTGAGTGGACTTGCCGATGACCGGTACCAGGATCGGCCTCTGTGGAGGAGGCTCGTGAAGGATGCTACTGGGCAGTTGGAGGCAGTCGCCTTCCAACAACAACGGAGGGCGGAGGAGCGACGCTCACAACAACGAGCGGAGCGCCGGGTGGCTAAAGCACAGCAGGTTGGCACAGTAGGGGGCACAGGTGGTGGATCAGCCAGTCATCTCAGTCAGTCGACCCGTGGCACCTGGGTCTGCCCCGTGACCTCCTGCCAGCGGGCGTTCGACACTTCACGTGGCCTCAAGGTGCACATAGCCTGGCACAAGCGTCGTGGTGACGTCACCGCCACTTAGTGGCGAATGGCGGTTGTTGTGTGTACGTACGTGCGTGTGTGTGCGTGTGTATGTATATGTGTGTGCGTGCGTGTGTATACGTGCGTGTGCGTGTATGTGTGTGTACGTGCGTGTGTGTTTGTATGTGTGTGTACGTGTGTGTGTGTGTGTACGTGTGTGTGTGTATGTACGTGTGTGTGTGTGTGTGTAAGTACGTGCGTGTGTGTGTACGTGCGTGTGTGTGTGTACGTGCGGGTGTGTGTACGTGCTTGTGTGTATGTACGTGTGTGTGTATGTACGTGTGTGTGTATGTACGTGTGTGTGAGTGTGTGTGTATGTACGTGTGTGTGTGTATGTACGTGTGTGTGTATGTATGTACGTGTGTGTGCGTGTGTGTACGTGAGTGTGTGTATGTACGTGTGTGTATGTACGTGTGTACGTGAGTGTGCATGTGTGTGTATGTACGTGTGTGTGTGTACGTGTGTGTGTGTGTACGTGCGTGTGTTTGTACGTGCGTGTGTGTACGTGTGTGTGTACGTGCGTGTGTTTGTACGTGCGTGCTTGTGTGTACGTGTGTGTGTACGTGCGTGCGTGTACGTGCGTGCGTGTACGTGCGTGCGTGTATGTACGTGTGTGTGTACGTACTGTGTGTGTACGTGCGTGTGTGTACGTACGTGCATGTGTGTACGTACGTGGGTGTGTACGTTGATGCGTGTACGTGCATGCGTGTACGTGCGTGTGTGTGTGTACGTGCGTGCATGTGTGTACGTGCGTGCACGTGCGTGCGTGTACGTGCGTGCGTGTGTGTACGTACGTGCGTGTGTGTACGTACGTGCGTGTTCGTGTGTGTATGTACGTGTGTGCGTGCGTGTGTGCGTACGTGTGTGTGTACGTACGTGTGTGTTTGTGTGTGCGTGCGTGGGGAGCGGTAGTGTAGCGGGTAGCGCTACGCCGCGCTATGAACCTGGCGACCCGAGTTTGATTCCCGCTCACGGCCAACACCATCAGCGACGATTATCTGAACCGGTCCTGGGCCTCCCCTAGGTCGACTCAGCCTCAAATGAGTAGCTGGTGTAGTGGTGGTGTAGTCGTGGTGGTGGTGGTGTAGTGGTGGTCTAGTAGTGAACATCGCTAGCACTGGGGGAGAGACAAAGGCGGCCGGGCGTGGTGGTGGTGCTGACCACCCACCCCCTCTGTGTGTGTAGCCACAGTGCCGGTAGCCTTCACAGGCAGCGCTGCTGCTGCTACTCACTAACAGCACTTGCCCCTACAGCCTGCTAGAGGCTACACGGGGGACCTTTACAGTGAGGGAAAAAAGTATTTGATCCCCTGCTGATTTTGTACGTTTGCCCACTGACAAAGAAATGATCATAGTAATAGGTTTTACCCTTTTAACTGGCACAAAAACTGCCACCTTTATTCAAGGCATCATGTTTGCAATAACCACAAGCAGTTAAAATGCAAACAAAAAAGACAACTCTGATAATAATATTGGCACTGTCCTTGAATTTGATTGGTCCACACCCGAGACGGCTTTTCTTAGAGCCCTTTAGTCTCACACTGGTGTTGGACCAGAAGACGCCAAAAGGCGTACAACTCAAAAACAGCGCACCATCAGAGTATTGAGGGCTCGGGGTGAGCATTTACATTATGAGACCTCCTTTGTCAGTAACAAGATATAGTAATAAGTTTTACCCTGTTAAAAGGGTAAAAAGGGTAAAACCTATTACTATATCTTGTTACTGGCAAAGGAGGTCTCATAATGTAAATGCTCACCCCGAGCCCTCAATACTCTGATGGTGCGCTGTTTTTGAGTTGTACGCCTTTTGGCGTCTTCTGGTCCAACACCAGTGGAGAGACTAAAGGGCTCTAAGAAAAGCCGTCTCGGGTGTGGACCAATCAAATTCAAGGACAGTGCCAATATTATTATCAGAGTTGTCTCCTTTTGTTTGCATTTTGACTGCTTGTGTTGTGGTTACTGCAAACACAATGCCTTGAATAAAGGTGTCAGTTTTTGTGCCAGTTAAAAAGGTAAAACCTATTACTATATCTTGTTACTGGCAAAGGAGGTCTCCTAATGTCAAAGAAATGATCAGTCTATAATTTTAATGGTAGGTTTATTTGAACAGTGAGAGACAGAATAACAACAAGAAAATCCAGAAAAACGCATGTCAAAAATGTTCTAAATTGATTTGCATTTTAATGATGGAAATAAGTATTTGACCCCCTCTTAATCAAAAAGATTTCTGGCTCCCAGGTGTCTTTTATACAGGTAACGAGCTGAGATTAGGAGCACACTCTTAAAGGGAGTGCTCCTAATCTCAGCTTGTTACCTGTATAAAAGACACCTGTCCACAGAAGCAATCAATCAATCAGATTCCAAACTCTCCACCATGGCCAAGACCAAAGAGCTCTCCAAGGATGTCAGGGACAAGATTGTAGACCTACACAAGGCTGGAATGGGCTACAAGACCATTGCCAAGCAGCTTGGTGAGAAGGTGACAACAGTTGGTGCGATTATTCGCAAATGGAAGAAACGCAAAAGAACTGTCAATCTCCCTCTGCCTGGGGCTCCATGCAAGATCTCACCTCGTGGAGTTGCAATGATCATGAGAACGGTGAGGAATCAGCCCAGAACTACACGGGAGGATCTTGTCAATGATCAAGGCAGCTGGGACCATAGTCACCAAGAAAACAATTGGTAACACACTACGCCGTGAAGGACTGAAATCCTGCAGCGCCCCGCAAGGTCCCCTTGCTCAAGAAAGCACATATACATGCCCGTCTGAAGTTTGCCAATGAACATCTGAATGATTCAGAGGACAACTGGGTGAAAGTGTTGTGGTCAGATGAGACTAAGATGGAGCTCTTTGGCATCAACTCGCAGTGTTTGGAGGAGGAGGAATGCTGCCTATGACCCCAAGAACACCATCCCCACCGTCAAACATGGAGGTGGAACATTATTCTTTGGGGGTGTTTTGTTCTAAGGGGACAGGACAACTTCACCGCATCAAAAGGGACGATGGACGGGGCCATGTACCGTCAAATTTTGGGTGAGAACCTCCTTCCCTCAGCCAGGGCATTGAAAATGGGTCGTGGATGGGTATTCCAGCATGACAATGACCCAAAACACACGGCCAAGGCAACAAAGGAGTGGCTCAAGAAGAAGCACATTAAGGTCCAGGAGTGGCCTAGCCAGTCTCCAGACCTTAATCCCATAGAAAATCTGTGGAGGGAGCTGAAGGTTCGAGTTGCCAAACGTCAGCCTCGAAACCTTAATGACTTGGAGAAGATCTGCAAAGAGGAGTGGGACAAAATCCCTCCTGAGATGTGTGCAAACCTGGTGGCCAACTACAAGAAACGTCTGACCTCTGTGATTGCCAACAAGGGTTTTGCCACCAAGTACTAAGTCATGTTTTGCAGAGGGGTCAAATACGTATTCCCCTCATTAAAATGCAAATAAATTTATAACATTTTTGACATGGGTTTTTCTGGATTTTCTTGTTGTTATTCTGTCTCTCACTGTTCAAATAAACCTACCATTAAAATTATAGACTGATCATTTCTTTGTCAGTGGGCAAACGTACAAAATCAGCAGGGGATCAAATACTTTTTTCCCTCACTGCATCCGTGTCTACCTTCATAGACGCTGCTGCTGCTACTCGCTACTACCAACAGCACTTGGCCCTACAGCCTGCTAGAGGCTACACGGGGGACCTTTGTCTGTGTCTACCTTCATAGACA